GCCGTGCGCCGCGACCGCCGAGCATGCTCTGCTCCGCCCCTCCGGGCGCACCCAGGGTGACCTGATGAGCGTCGAGCGCCTCGAGCGAAATGCTCTGGGCGCTGAAGAAAGGGCTTGCAAGCTCTAGGGAGCTGCCTGGAGCGCTAGGGCTCACGCACACACTCAGACCAAGCTTCCAGCCGCCTCCAGCAACCGCTCCAGACCAGGATCCGCATATCCCTACGGCTAGAAAGGGAACCCTCCAGCCTCAATTTACCTCAATATTATCACTGAGAATTAGAACTTTGACAGCAATGCTAGGACCTGCCTTGAGACCCTGTCCTATTACTTTTTTCCTACTCAAGGCAAACCTTCTAGAACAATCCTGAAAGACACTGGATCTTTGACCACGATGATCCTCGCCATCTCCACATCACCCTGGTATCTATCTAGCTGATCTCGGATAGAGCTGTCCCTCAATCCAAGAAACTCTCTCCTTCCTCACCTACGATTGATTCTAGCACTGTACACTCCTCCCGCCCCAACTTCAAACTTCAGGGTCAGGCTGTTCCTTGACAGATGGGTGGGGCCAGAATCTGGCCGCTGCCCCGCCCCCAACCGGGTACCCTCCCTTTACCGCTCACTTGGCAAAAAGGGGAAAAACCTACTAAAAGAACTGCCACGCAGGGCCACTGCCCAAACCTGGCCCTGATTTGGGACACCATTACTTTGCAAAGTTTTTAGGTTCGTTTCAGCTACTCCTTACATCCCCCATGTCCTCCATGTGTTTCCCCCAACACACCATAGCTCTCTCCTCCCTCTAGACAAAGCCAAGGCAAAGCTGACTCTACTTCCTCACACCCCACAATTTGGGTCAGCTCCCTCTGGGGAGTGGCACACTGATTTTTTTTCTTTTTTTTTTTGGTGGAAATAGATTGGTCATAAGTGAATTTGGCTGTTAGGTATTTGGTCTTATCTTTGGGAGTGTCTGTCTGGCCCAGATACCAGATAAGAAATGTAAGCATGCTCGGCGGTGGTGGTCCACGCCTTTAATCCCAGCACTCAGGAAGCAGAGGCAGGCGGATCTCTGTGAGTTTGAGGCCAGCATGGTCTTCAAAGAGAGTTCCAGGACAGTCTCCAAAGCTACACAGAGAAACCCTGTCTCGAAAAACCAAAAAAAAAAAAAAAGGAAAAGAAAAGAAATGTGAGCATGATATACAGGCCTGTGCTGGGATAACACAGAAACGGGGCCAGAGCTGGAGTTCTCATAGATTACTTTCCTCAGATCTAGACAGCCTTAGATCTGGCACTATCTTCCAGCCATCCCTGAAACATTATGAACCAAAACAAGACAAGTAGGGAAGCTGAATCCCTGGTGAGCAATCTTTTACCAAAGGCAAGAAGCCCCGTTCCCCATTCCTCTGCCTCCCTCTCACTTCAGCCAGCCACCAACCTATCTGTGCCTCAGTTTCTTTCTTGTTCAAGGAAGAGATGAACTTTTGACATCCCCACCCTGTCCCTTGAAAATTCTCAAGTGCCTCTACCTGGCTTACAGATGGGATGGGTCCAGCCAGATCTAAAATCCATATCTAGGCAGAAGCCTGGAAGCTGTAGGTAGAGGAACTATGGAAGAAATCCCAGTCAGATCTAAAATCCATATCCAGGCAGAAGCCTGGAAGCGGTAGGGAGAGGAACTATGGAAGAAATCCCAGTCCAGTAACCTGCATTGATTCCGCCAGTTTAGATGGGTTTCATTCCTCAGAACCAAGAAGTTTCAATTTCATTCAACTATGTCTCACAGCTGAGTTCTCTGACCCTCATTTTTGTTTCTTGAGACAGGACATCTTCGTGTAGCTTTGTCTGTTCTAGAACTCACTACATAGATCAGGCTGACCTTGAACTCACAGAGATCCACCTGCCTCTGTCTCCAGAGTGCTGAAATCAAAGGTGTGCACCACCTACAGCCTGACTCCCAGAAAGTCAACTTTTGCAAGACCAGGTTCTTCACTTTTCCTCTGTGTCCATCCTGCAAATCTAACACCAAATACTGATTCTAGTTTCAAGACACCACTAAAACAAGATGCTCAGACGTCCAGCTCTGCCTATATGTGGCTGGAACAAAGTAAATAGTCCACAGTTTCCTTGTAAGATCAGTACCAAACAATCCTAAGGCTAGGGTCATACCTTAGTGGTGAGAACATTTGTCTAACATGCATGAGGCCCAGGGTTCCATGCCCAGCACACCAAAGCAAAATAAAACAATTCTTTGCCCTACCAGTTTGGTTTTTTTTTGTGGGAGGGGGCATATCTGAGATGACAGAGATTGAAATCTTAGTACATGCAATTGCTTGAGTATGGGAGGGGTTTGTCAGAGTTGCTGGACAGAACTGGTTCAATCTAGAGACTAGATTCTACTCTTTTTTTTGTGGTGAGTACCTGGAACCAAACTAAGGGCCTTGCCCGTGATAACTATGTACTCTACACTGAGCCACATCCTCTAGTCTAGTCTGGATTCTAGATCTGTAGCATCCACTACAGTAAGATAACTAACGACCAGCCATATTTGAAGTGCTCAATGGCCACATGTAGTCAGTGGTGACCCTCCAAGCCAGCACCAATTGTTAAAGACCATTTCTGACATCTCACAAAGTTCTACTGGATGTAGTATTTAACATAGAAGATTTTTCCAGAACAAAGAATTTGCTGCCCAACTACCTGGATTGCAAAGCTTAGTTCTCTAGCTATGTAATTTGGGGCAGGTAAATTAAGTTCTCTGTGCCTCAGATTCCTCCTCTGTAAAATGAGTATGATGAAAGCACCCACCTTAATAGAGTTGCTGTAAGGAGCTCAATGGCTTTGTGCTTGTAAAGTGCCATTGCTTCGAGAAAGACTCACTGAGAAACTGGATTCAGAAAGGGCCATGAACCAACCATTGAATAAAACAGAAATTACATCTATGTGCCAATACAGTGGTGAGAAAATTTGTTAATATGCTTTTTTTAAAAAAAAAAATAGGGTCTGAATGTATAGTGTAGCTCAATCCTAGAACTTGCTATACAGCCCAGGCTGACCCCAATTCTCTTGCCTAAGCCTGAGAGCTAGAATTACAGACAGATGAAATGCTTCCAGGAACACAGAGTGGACACCCTCCAACTCACCCATCCATCCCTCTGAACTCCTGGGGAAGGATAGGGGCTCCGGTCTGGCCTGTACCCTCCCCTTACCATCTCCGTAGATTGGCCCAGGGTCCTCAGCCCAGGTGGGTGGGAAGGGCATGGTGAGAGGCAAGCGTGGCCGTCGTGAAGTCAGGAAGCTTCCAGGTGGCACACTAGGCTCATGGTCCAGGGGACTTGGGGGCAACTCAGCTGCTGAGGTGGCCAGCAGCTCTTGCAGGATGTTGATGGGTGAGATGGTAAGCTCCCAGTTGGTGATGCCAAAGTCACGCAGGTGGGCCCGGGCATGACTGGAAAGGCCGGCCCGGGTATCGAAACCAGCCCCACAGAAGTCACATCGCATCAGGCTAAAGGTGCCCGGGTCGAAGTTAGCCACTGCAGAAAAAAAGACAGAGACTTCCTGGGATGGAGTAGTGGTGAGGGGAGCCACTCTGCATCGCAACTCTACTTCCTTTCCAGGACTTCTCCCCACTCTATAGATCACCCTGGAATGCCTGCCTTCATTTCTCTTGTTGATGCTTCTGCCTGACCTGAAACTCAGCTTGGGCACCTCCCCAAACCACACACTCCAGGAAGCCTGACATCCCAAACCCCCTGCTTGCACAGCAGACCAAATTAGGGACATCTTCCTAGAAGAGGCTTCTCTGGATTTACAATATGAGAGTACTGGACCCTTTCTGTGTCTATTTTTGCTTGGCATTGCTCCAGCATTATAGATTGTATGAAGAAATGGACAATAGAGGATGGGTGTCTACATCTGGGAGCCTCTCTGAGCCCACAAGATAGAGTTAGGGTTTTTTTTCTCTCAGATTCTGAGCGCTGGTCAGTTGATGTCGTATCTGCCTACTTTCTTAGCAGTCTACCACTTACCCAACATTCTAGTCTCTCTCTCTCTCTCTCTCTCTCTCTCTCTCTCTCTCTCTCTCTCTTTCTCGTGTGTGTGTGTGTGTGTGTGTGTGTGTGTGTGTGTGTGAGAGCGCACGCGCACGCGCTCGTGCTCTCATTCAGTCAAACACCATGCTAGCACCTTTCTCAAGTAGGCTGTGAATTACCCAGTATCAGAAATACCCAGTGTGCTCTCCCTAGAGTCAGTCCTCTGGAATCAGAACCTCTTTTCCTGGAATCTTTACGTGTACAGGGGGCCCCATGTTCTGAAGCCCACCAAGAGTCTCGTTACTTGGTCTGGGCCATGAGTTCTAAGAGAACAGAACTGTTGTCTAGCTCACTGCTGGGACTCTCAGGTCCCGGAACAGAGGTGACCCAGTTCAATACACATTTATTGCATGAATGAATCAAATGGAATTATCTGCCTGTGGCTGATTGCTGTGCCCCAACTCCTTCCTTCAGCTGCCATTGTGACTAGGGCACCAGGGCCCTCCCGGCACATCCACCAACATTTGGTGGTGACATTGCCCATGGCTCCCAGGTCTCTCAAGAGGGGAGGCCCCCAATTTCACCCTTCAGGATGCTAAAATAGGATTCAGAGTGAGGGTGGGTAAGTTTAGAACTCTGCTGTCCAGCTCTGTGCCTCCCAGGCATGGAGAGAGGGAGATGAATTCCCAAAGCAAGGCCGATGCCTTACCTTTTTTCTTCTTCTTCTGGAAGGAAAACCTGCGTTCAATAGCCTTCACCTCCTCTGCAGAGATGAAATGCCGAACATTGTAGCTGACACCCACACGGTTCAAGTGGCCTCGGACATGGTTGGCTAGCCCGATGCCATTGTGGAAACGATCAGGACAGTAGGGGCATTTCCGCTCCTCATGCTTTAGAGCCATGGCTGGATCACCTTCTAGGAGTGTGTCCAGACCCAGTGGATCACCCAAAGGTGTATCTATGACCAGGAAGTCCAGGGGGTGGTTGCTTCCCAATCCTAGTTCCTCAGGTGTCAGCTTTGGGGATGCTTGGCTGGCTGTGGCCATGACTTGTGGCCTAAGCTTCGCCACCAGAACAACGGGCACCATTCCTTGGAGCTGCTGTTGCTGATCCTGTGAGGCCTCAGCAGCCTGCAGGGCATCCTGGAAAGTCTGCTTCAACTCTAGGGCTGATTGAGGGATGAGGCTTGTGATGGCTGGGGATGGAAAGGCCCCATTTTCAGAAGTAAAATCCATTTCAGAAGTCAGCACTACATCTTCATCTTCTTCCTCCTCCTCGTCACTCCAAGGGCGACTCTTGTTGTCCATTCTCTGAAGGTGGACAGCACTTTTGTTTCTATTGAGCTGTATGGGGTAGGAAGCAGATGCCATAGGGGAAGGAAAGGCCAGCTTTCCAAGAGGCTGCTGGCCTGAGTTTAACAGAGAGAAATCTCTCATGCCTGCTTGCTGACAGTCTGGGCCAAAGGCTAGTCCTGGGTCATATCCGGCAGGGTTCTCCTGCCACATAGAGGCCAAGAGAGGCTCAGATTTGCTGAAATAGTCTGTGGTGACACTGTCAGGGAAGTGGATGTGTGTATCTTGGCTAGTACCTGGCTGGCTAGTGAGGATCTCCTCAAAGGCCTCACCATCTTCCTCCCAGTGGGCATGGGCATGTATTAGCCTTATGTGCTCCCTGAGCAGATTCTTGCTAGGTGCTGTGAAACTACAGTAGATGCAGGTATTGAGGCCTGAGGAGTCTCCATAGGAGGGACAGACAAGGGTGCTAACATCTATGACTGGGCTGCCACCCCTGAAAGGTGCCTTGGCCTGCTGGTTGGGTAGTATCTCACGCATATGCAGCTTGGCATGTTGCATGAAGGCTCTAGAGGAATTGGTGCCAAAGACACACTTGGGGCATTGCAGCCGTGCCTCACGGCCCTCATCGCCTGGGAATCGCTTCAGCTTTTGGATTTCTTCAATAATCTTCTCCCGGGAAGCCTGGTGCAGTTGCCAGTGCTGCTCCAGGGCAGTAGGCTCTGTGAAGGCCCAGCCACATTCGCTACAGGCCAGTGGCGCCAGTTCAGCTGGGGGCTCCTGGCCTGGTGCGCGGCGATGCTGGCTCATGTGTTCTAGGAGGTGCTCCTTGTGCTTGAAGTAGATGCTGCACTCGATGCATGGAAACACAGCTGGCTCTTCCTCCTCCTCCTCCTCCTCATGACTGTCCACCCCATCAGCTACTTCCTGCAACAGTTCACACAGGTAAGGCTCTGTTGGGACTGGGGATATTAGTGGCTGCAGTCGCTCCACAGATGCTTCGGAATTCACTGTCCAGGTCTGTGTGGCCACTTCTGAGGCTGATGTATGGAGACCCCACTCAGAAGGCTGGGCCAGTCCCGCAAAGTCCTCTAGGTCCTCTCTGGTACCCATAAACTCCATGGCCAGTGTCTTGGGAGTGTCATCCACTGGCACAATTACCCTCCTGAAGGAAGTGACAGTTGGTGGCTGGGCAGGGAGGTCCAGGTGTAACCCTGCATCCTTCAGGGGCCCCTGCTCATTTGCATCTTGGAGCCAATCAAGCTTGTGGTGGCTTGAAGGGTATTTCTCTAAGAACTTCAGTTCACCCTGGTGGCGCAAGAACTTTCTAGAGCCCTTGAGCTTGGCATGGGGTTTCATAGTTCTCACAATAACTGAGTCCTCGAAACTCTGCTCAGACCGGATGCCCTCCCCGGCCTCCTGGACCATGGGGTGCTCCCAAGACCCCTGAACATCAAGGGATGCAGGGAAGGGACCCAGAAGATGGGGTGGTGGGGAGCCCGGCTGAAAGTCCAGGCTGTCTCCATCCCAGTAGCTGCAAGGAAGTGCCAATGGGGATAGGTTAGCATGAGCCTCAGTTTCCCTCCCTGGGGCAGTAGTGACAGGTAGTCCTAGGCTGGTTGGAGCAGTTCCTTGAAATCCAGCTTAAGGGTGACTATGGAGAGGCTGGCACTAACAGGGCAAAGGTGAGGAAGTCCACGTGGACCTTTCCAGAGGGTCTGCATCACATCCAGGTGCAACTCTTAGTGTACACCTGTCTGTACAGCCCAGCCCTGTCTCATCATTGGGGAAATGTGCAGAGACCACAGGTTGAGGGACAGAGTCTCAAGAGAACACTCCTAAATATGGTGGTACTGTCAACTCTCACCTTTCCCCAGGGAGGAGCTGGGGCTCCAGGCTGCTTCTGTCTTGGTCCTCCCCAAACTGTGGCGTTTAGTCACATTTCTCCCCCAAATTTGGTGAAGGTCAAGGTCACCTTTGTGCAGGACAGCTCAAAGGATGAACGTCCGTCCTCCCCTCTTGGAGGGGCAGAACCAGAGATGACTAATGGTTCCAGTGACCCTGACCTTCCTGGGTAGGGCTGGGAGGTCAGAGTAGATGAGCAAAGTGTTCTCTGGGCCTCAGTTTGCCAATCCTAAAAATGGAGATGATTTCCAAGAATCAGAAACCTTGTCTTCCTTATACAATATATAAGGAATTTTCTGACAGTTGTCACCAACAAAAACTACCACACAAGGCTGGTGCTTATTTAGAAGCAGGCCAACATGGGGACTAGGACCCTCTAACAAGATACAGAGTAAAGACAGGCATGATTCAAGTGCTTAGAAATCAGGGAACACTACCTCACCTGATGCCTGACAGAACTTTTTTTAGGGGGAAACAATGTCTCATTATGTATTAGAGGTGTGGCCCCTCTATCAGGCTCTGAGGCTTCTTTTTTATTTTAAACAGGGTCTCATTATGTAGCCCTGGCTGTCCTTGAACTTGCTCTGTAGACCAGGCTGGCCTTGAACTCATAGAGAGCCACCTGCTTCTGCCTCCTAAATCCTAGGTTTAATCCTAGGGATTAAAGTCCTAGCCACCACACCAGGTTCTGGGACTTATTAATGTAAGTATTCCTGAACAATTCTCTCTTCATCACCCCCCCCCCCCCCCCCCGTGCTGGGATTTTAAACCTAGGACACAGTTCATGTTAGGCAAGCACTCTACCATAGAACTACATTCCTAGGCCCTTTCCCTTTTTAAAATTTTGAGACAGGATCTTGTTAAATTATGCTAACTTTGCATTCACTTTGTATTCAGTCAGGTTTTAAACTCAAGATCCTCTTCCCTCAACCTTTGAAGTAGCTGCAGATTATAGATCTGTACTACCAGGATGGGTTAGCTTATTTATTTATTTATTTATTTGAGGCAGGGCCCCATTATGTACCCCAGGCTAGTATTGGACACAAAACTGTCCTGTTCAAGACTGAACTTCCAGGTTCTGGGAGAATATTATGTGCCATTGTGCCCACATATACACATACAATATACATACATCACACACACATTATTTTTTTTCTTCTTTGAGACAGGGTCTCAGGAATCCATTTTGGCCTTGAATTCACTGTGTAGCAGAGGAGGATCCTCTTGTATCTGCCTCACAAGTGCTGATTGCTGGGATTACTGATGTATGGCTCCCTTCATTTTAAGAGCCTGCCTTTACAAAGTGGGGTGATGGGAGAATGGTTACATCCATGGATCGGATGAGGAAATGGGCACGACACACAGGCCAAGTGGAGGCCACAGTGCCACCTAAGCCATTGGTGCCACGCAGTATTAAAAGCACCATCCTCTCAGTGCTGTAGCAGAGAGTCTGTGGGCTGAACTGAGAGCCAGAACATGATAGTATTTATTTTTAGATCTGTTGTTAATCTTGAGATTATGGAAATTATATATTAGAGCCACCAAACTCTTTAGTAAAGAGTAGCTGGGGCTATATATAACTCAGGAATAGATGGCAGATGACTTGCATTGGCCTTGTATGTCCTCCCTCCTTTGAGTTTTGCCACCAGCACCACAAGTAGTGGCCACTGAGGTTGACCCTTGTTTTTTCCCAAAGTTCCTTGAGTTGCCAAGGCAAATTTGTGAAACATGTCTTGTGGCAGCTAACTTTCCATTTTGCAGACAAGGAAACTGAGGTTCAGAGAGGCATAGCACCAATCTAAGCATCATTTAACAGAGAGATTGAACTCCAAGGGTCCAACCTACAGACTTGTTCCTCTCTGCCTGGCTCCTGGCAGGGGTAATGAGAGTTGACCTTCTGTGTTGCTATCAGACCTCCCCCCTTGCCCTAGCACACACCCAGGGGCTGGTCTATGGGGAGCCACCTCCTCCTGTCTGGCCTCTTGATTCCCTCCTGTCCCCTTCTCATTCCCCAGAGGGCTTCAATGGAGCCTAGACACTCCTGCTCATCCCCCTGCCCTACCTGAGGTCAGGGCCAGCGTGGCACTCACCAGCTGCTGATCCGATGGGTAGCGGAGGTGGCACGGGGGAGGGCTTCGCTGAGGCCAGGATGGGGCTGCCCATCTGCAACAGAGAGGGGAGACCCTGAGGGGCCGGGATTCCCTGGCCAGGGCCCTCCATACCTCAGCTCCAAGAGCCTTGTGGGGTATCTCAGAAGGGCCCTGTAGGCCCCCAACCCTATCCTTCAGAGGCTTTTGACCTCTGTATTCCCAGTACCCTGAAAGGAGGTTCTTTGAAGGAATTCCCTTAGGTCTCTTGGAGGACCCTAGGGACTTGCTGCCTTCCAGGCTTCCCAACATTTGGCAACCAGGGTAGTGTTTGTTTGTTTGTTTTTAAGTCATACCCTGGGAAAACTCATATGCTTCTCATTCTAGCTATAGGTAACAGGATGGAGTCCCACCTGCCACAACAATTGCACAATGAGGTCTGCGTCTTTATTGGTTTCTTCACCTTCACTTGCCTTTCCTGGACCCTTGCTGCTGTGCCCTGATTGCATTCTCCCCCGTCTCCCACCCCATGAAGCTTTGAGTCCTAACTCTCTCTGACCTCAGCCACCCCCCACTCCCCCACCCCCTCATGCCCCGTGTGTGTGTGTGCATGGGTGTGTGTGTGTGTTGAGGACAGGGTCTCTGCCTCCTGAATGCTAGAATTAAAGTTGTGCACCACTATGCCCAGAAGCCTCAGAACTTTTGCATTTGGTACTTCTTTGACTACTTAATCAAATGAGATGCTATGACTGTTTCTTTTTTAACCTAACATTTACTTTTGTGCAGCTTAGTTGGATTTCTGTTGGTTGGTTTGATTTTATTTTTTCTTTCTTTCTTTCTTTCTTTCTTTTTTTTTTTTTTTTTTTTTGGAAACAGGATTTCTCTGTGGCTTTGGAGGCTGTCCTGGAACTAGCTCTTGTAGACCAGGCTGGTCTCGAACTCACAGAGATCTGCCTGCCTCTGCCTCCCCAGTGTTGGGATTAAAGGCGTGCGCCACCACCGCCAGGCTCTGGTTTGGTTTTATTTTTACTATTATTATTATTTTTGTGTGGGCACAGGGTCTCATGTAGCTCAAGCTAGCCTTAAATTCAATATGTAGCTGAGGATGACCTTGAACTCCGGATCTGCCTCTACTTTCCAAGTGCTGGAGCTACAAGTGTGTATCACTATGCCTCGTCTTAGTTTTGCTTTTGAGACAAGGTCTTTCTTGAGACCAGCTAACCTCAAAACTTACAATCCTCCTGCCTCTGTTTTCTGAGTGCTGGGATAACAAGCATGAGTCACCACACCTGGCTTTGTTTTGCTTTTTCTGAGACAAAGCTTCCTATGGAGCTCCAGTTAATTTAAAACTCATTCTATAGCCCAAGATAGTCTTACATCCATCTATCCTCCTGTCTCTGCCTTCTGAGTACTGTGATTATAGGCCTGTACCACCATGCCTGGCACTTGCCTTATTTATATTTTAGCTCTCCCAGGTATTGCCAGGTTCCCTCTGTGGATAGCTGCATGTCTGGGTCCCCTGTAAGCACACAAGCCCCCTGAGAAACTGGGACATTTGCAGCCTCATTCATGGCAGCATTCCAGCACCTGGCATGCAAGTACTAAACACGTGCCAGATGATGAGTGGGGAGCCTGGCCACCCTGAGCTACACGTGGCCCATGCCTGCCTTCTGGACCCTTTTCCAGGCCTAAATCCTAGAATGGAATCCCTTCTTGGGAATTCCCACCACCCCACAACAACACAGATAGAGCCAACTCTCCATTATCCTCCTGTAGAGCCAATGCCTGGAGCCACCACAGGAATCCTGGCCTGTGCCTCTACCCACCACGCTTGCCTGACATGGCAAGCCTGCCAAGCAGGGAGTAAGCCAATTGCCTGGGCCAAGGTTAACACGCTGGGGGAACTTGTGCCCTGGCCAGAGCCTGACAGATGCAATTGCTGGATCAACCTCAATTTGAGGATGGTCCAGAAAGGGTGAGGGCTGGCACAGAGTCTTCCAATCCTCCACCATCCAATTTGCCCTGGGAATTGAAAGCTGACCACTGGGGACAGAAGAATGAAAACAAGATGGGATGGTCAGGGAGGTGTAGTCTGCTGAGCCTGACAAAAGAGGCTACAACAATGGCATGGCCTCTAACACCTGGGGCAGGGGCACAGAAATTTGCATATCCTAGAACAGAGTGGTTTTAGTCCTGACACTTGGACAGGGTCCTGCACCACTGCCGGATGATTAACAATGTCCTTGACCTCTACCCACCCACACAACACTACTACCTACCTATCCTGCAACCATGTCATCCAAAAATGTCTCCACATGTTCCCAAAGTGTCCCCTGTGGGACCTGAGTGTCCCCATTTGAGAACTAAGGAGGTAGACCCACAGGGAGCAGGGTATTCTTGGATTTAAGGGCTGAAGTTATGCTGGGGTACTGGAGAGGACAGTAGGGGTTAGGACAACAATCACAAGAAACAGGTTCTCTTCTGGACACATCACAGATGAGAGCTAGTCAGGAGAGGCTACCAATTAGTGGTTAACCAGCCCCAGAGCAGTCTAGAGATGTGGGTCTGAGGGTCCCAGGTGTCCTGTTTCTGAAATTCGGAGTGTCCCAGATTTGATGGCTGTGTGCAATGGCTGGTTGTCTAAGAATTCGATGAGCCAGGAGGGCACACTGGCCTCTTTGTCTGAGCAGCTCCAACGAGGCTCCTATTTTTAGTGGCAGCAACTTTGGAGGAAGGAAACCAAGCAGGGCCTGCATCTGAGACACCTTGGAGGTGGGGGCTTTGCCCAGAAGCCTCCACACTGAAGGGGATCCAGAAGTTCCTACGGGTCATATGAGGCACCTGGGATGCAACTCGGAGTCAGTGGCAGGGCCAGAATCCCTCACTGGCTCCTGCCATGTGGGGTCCCCGAGACAGCTTACAAATGAGAGGAAAGGGTGTCCATGAACCACTTACACTCTAAGCCAGGCATTCTGCAGCTTGGCAGAGTAGCCAAGAATCTATACTTTGATGTCAGACAGCTCCAAGTGCAAGGCCCAGCAGTGTGACCAGAAAGAAGTTGCCTTCCAGGCTCCAAGTGTCAGTTTCCTCTCAGTATAACGCAAGCAGCCATGAATTCAGCTTCAAGGGGCCACTGATGAGAGCCAATGAGATCACAGGAAGTTCTGTCTGAGAAATTTCGATGTGGGGGAAGGAGGAGGTGGGTGTTCTGTGGTGTCAAGGCTGGCTTGATGATGTCCTGGGGTGGAAGCTGGAGGCTAGACTTGTAGCCTCAGGCTTGCTTTCTCCATGCTCTGATTCATTCCCTCCACGAATCCAGAAATGGTACATTCTTTGTTCCCAGGACTCCTGCCCCCAAACAATGGCAGGCATGCACCAGACTCTTCACTGATCTGAATGGAACATGTAAGCCCCACAAGACTTTGCTGCACCTGCGAAGTTCACCTCAGAGACTGCAATGGGCTTTAGGCAGGGTCCCAACTGACAGCCATAATGGAAGGCAGAGCAGGTAGTAGGCATATCCTTGTCTAAACAGAGAAGTTTGGGGGTGCCACTCCTGGGAGTCCTTGAGGGGCTCCGAGGACTGCATGGGGATGAGAGAGGGCCCAGGCTTCAGGAGGGAATAGCAGCCTATTCCTATTTATAGACATCACAAGACTCCCAGGGCAAGTGTCTAGTCTATGAAGTCAGGGGGGCAGGTCAAACTGGCTGAGAGGGCAGTGGGAGAAACATCCAGGCCTTCTCTAACCTCCCTGATATAATCCTGCTTCAATGTAGCCACTGCTACTTGTGGTCCCATTTGCTCAGGGAACCCATTAAGGGTGGCTGTGGTTCCCCTTTGGTGGCCTCTTCCTCCTTTTACCTAGGCTGTGAAATATGAATCATGAATCCCTGGTTGCTCTCCAGTTGGGGTGTGGGGTGGTGAAGACCCCCCTACATCTACCTTCCTCATCTCTCCAGCCTGTGTCATCTGCCACATGGAGACGACATGCCCAGTCCCTTGGAATCTACAGATTTCTCAAGTTCCCACAGCGTCAAGAGCCTAGCCCTGCCCTGGCTAGCTTTGTGACCTGGGATAAAGTCCTGCTACTCTCTGGGTCTTGAGGAGGGACTGCTAAGGGATAACCCTCTGTCCTCAGGATTTGTTAGTCACCATTCCCCGTTGCCTCACACTGGCAGGTGCCAGTAGTCCCGCCAAACCTTTACAAGACTAGATACCTTTTGCCTCTTTGTCAGGATGCTTCCTCCTCATTCTACTTCTTGTGTTTATTTTCCATGCCCCAGATAAAGGGGATAGTGGGGATGGCATGTGCCTGGTCCCCTCTTTATTTGGCTCTATGAAGGTAGGTTCATAAGTAGCTGTGCATAGGAAGTGCTGCTGAGCAGTGGCAGATGGGGGAGGGCTATGCGGAAAGGATGGGACCTGGGAATGTGGCAGGATGCAACAGTGCTTAGCTAACTTCGCCTAACTTCTCGACAACAAAACAAAACACAAGAAAGAAAACAGAGAAGAGAAAAAAGAAGAAAAATTACTCAAAAACTCAAAAAGAAGCTGGGCACATAACTAAAATGCCAGCACTTGGGAGGCAGAAGCAGGCAGATTTCTGAGTTCAAGGCCAGCCTGGTCTATAGAGTAAGTTCAGGATAGCCAGGTCTATAGAGAAAGCCTGTCTCAAGAAACAAAAACAAAACAAAAAATATATCAAAAAAAAAAAAAGAGTGGAGAGATACCGCAATGGTTAAGAACACTGTCTTCTTTTCCAGAGGACCGAGGGTTTGATTCCCAGCATCCACATGGCAGCTCACACCTATCTATTACTCCAATCCCAAGGGATCTGATTCCCTCTTCTGGCCTCTGAGGGCTGCATGCAGGAGATGTACAGACATACATACAAAAACCCATACACATAAAAGAATAGTAATGGAAAAAATCAAAAACTTAAAAAGAGGAGGCCCAGTGGCTCAGAACTGTGTGTAACTCCAGCTCCATGTAGCTAAGGTTCCCGGCCTCTGCAGGCACCAGCATCCACACGCACATATCCACATGCATACTTGCAGATCATTAACAAAATAAAATAAAAAAATAAGCTGAGGTTTGGAAATGTAGATTAGTGGCAGAGTGCCTGCCTAACATGGAGAATGTACAAGACAAAACACAAGAAGAAAGAAAGAACGACTAGACAAAAGAGAAGATATTTAAAAATTAAAGAAGAGGGCTGGGATGGAGCTGGGTGGAACAGCATTTGCAGAGTGTGCAAGGGCCTAGGTTCAATCCCCAGTTCTATAAAAAAAAATAAATAAATAAAGGAGGAAGGTGGTGAGGCCATATGACTGCCTGACTCTGTGACTTTGGGATTCTTACTTCACCCCTCAGGGTCTTGGAGTCCCCATTCCCAATGTGAATTCCCTACAAAGGTTCTACGCATGACATGATTTGGTCACTCAAAGAACTTGACACGCAGGAACCACACAAGAGGTGCTTGGAAGTTCTTGGGGGCCAGAGTTTTTGGGGGCCAACCAAGGAGATGGAGGGAGAAGTATTCCCCAGTCACACCAGATTCCTGTTAGGTCTTTAAACATGCCAGGTCCCTCCCTCCCTCTCTCCCCCCTCCCTCCCTAGCCTTTGCACTTACTGCTCACACTGCCTGATGGGCATTTCCCACCACTCATTTCATGCTCTACCTCAAATACCACTTCCTCGGGAGGCTTTTCCCAGGCCTCCCAGGCATGATCCTAGCACTCTGTTTAATATCTGCCTAGCCTCCGTCATCACCTCCCCTTATGACATGTGTTCAGTCTGTTGTCCATCGCCCCTTCTAGAATGCCAACCCTGGAGGACAGGAACCCTTGCCTCTTTGTCATGATCATTTCCCCCAGAATCCAGACCAGAAACTGACACACAGCAGTTTGTGAGGTAGGGACAGTGTGAGCTACCCTTGTACAGGGTAGACCCTTGAAAGGGGTGGCAGGCATCTCTAACCCCCAGTTTCTACCTTACCACTAGAGGGCACAAGCTGTTTTGGCCCATGGATCAGGAGCCATATACACTCCACTAAGATTGCACAAGGAGCTGAGTGAGATACACTGATATCCCATGGGGAACAAGTGGACTTTGGGCAAAGAGCTCAGGGTGCTGGTCTGGGTATTTGGATACAGCTTTTGTCTAGCTCAAAGTAGGGAGCCAGTCCGCTCCAAGTATGAATCCTAGTTCCTCTGAGCAACTGCGATCCAGTCCATGGGCTCCCAAAGGCATCTGATTGCATAAGGGCAAAAAACAAAAAACAAAACAAAACAAAACAAAACAAAAACAAAAACCAACCAAACAAACAAAAACTATGCAGAACATCAAGAGAGGGCTCTGGACATCAAGCAGAATTTGAATCCTAACTCACCAAGACCTGGTTCTCTCTGAGCCTTGGGGACCACATGGGATGCTTCCTTAGGGCCATAGAGCCCTCTTACCAGAAATGCCACTTCGGCCATCCAGAATGTCTCGTGGTCCTTCCTTGGTGATAGGCAGGTAATGAGCAGATCGAAAAATATCACCTTCCCCTTCAGCAGCATCAGTCCCACCCTCGATGTCCTCTCTTGGAGCTGGGCCAGGCAGTCTCTCTGGGCCTCGAGGATGATCTGGGGCAGCCAGGCCACCTGCCAGTACCCCCTCCATGGGTGCTAACTGCTGATCTTCTGTCAGTACCTGGCAGATTCAGCAGGACATTGTGGGCCTGGGGACAAAGAAAGGGGAGACCTTAGGAGAGGGAAGAAAGGAATTCTGTCTCAGTTTCCCCCTTGCTCAACACCACAGTCCTCACTTTCAAGGTCTGTTGCCTCAGTTTACCTCTCAGTAGAAACGAGGGGGTAAATGGTGTTGGGGCCCCATTGCCATCTAACACAATCCAATCACGTCCACTGTCAGCATGCTTCAGCACACCAAACCTTTCTCTTTTCTTCACAGCCTCCATTCACCTCACTTGTACAAGCACACTAGGTCACCTCAGTCTTCCCTCATCCATCCTTCTGCCTCCCCCATCCCTCCCATTGCTCACCCACAGGGCCCCCTTTCCCAGCTGCTTCCTAGCTTCCCTGGACCTGCACAACCTATGACAGTGCCTCCAGCTTCCAGGGTCCCAGCCCCTTCCACACTCCCAGCCCATGAATGCACTGTCTCTAGTGCCCCCATCTTTGCCCTGACACTTTTCTCACTTCTCTTGCCCCACATCAATTGCCCCCTACACTTTTCCCAGGCTTGGACCCTTCTCCCTAGCAGGGTTATCCAGAGTTAACCCCTTAACCTCGACACAGCCTCAAGTGACCCCACCATTAACCCTTTCCCTTCTCCTCAGCCTGATCTCTCATGCATACCAAGCCTGGGCTCCTCCACCCTGCCACCTTCCAATAATATTGGTTGCATCCTCCACCGATATTGGTTGCTCCGGCCCGAGGATGAAAGGGACCGATGGGGCTCCTGTTTCAGAAATAAGGACCCTGGGGGGAGGGGGGGCCGGCTGTCCTCTCCACCTATAAATACCTTCAAGGTAGAGTAGAAAGTGAAGGGCAGGAATGAGGCGCTCTCCCCGGGGAGATGGTGGTGAGGCCGGGCCCAGGCAACCGGGGCGGGGCCGGGTCTCCAGGCCTGGTAGCAGGCGTTGCCCTAGGGGGCCTGGGTGCTCCCGGGGGGCCTACACGGGGTGGGTTGACAGTCTTGTCAGGAGGGGTCCCTGCCCAGGCCCGGAGAAAGCACCTGCGGGTGCCCACGGGGGTGGGCACTGCCGGCGGGGATCGGGCAGGACCGCAACTTCGGAG